TTTTTGTATTGATTGTTGGTGGTTTTATGGCAGAGATTTCGATGTGTTTAACGCGTTGGATGTGATGGAGAACAAAACTTTCGTGGAGGTGAGGCGGCACGGAACACCTTTTTGAGTTGAAGAAAGGGCATTTCGAAAGTTGAGAGGAAACATATTTAGGCGGCATATTGCATGCAGCCAGCAAGCACTTTAAAAATACAAACTCTTACAAACAACATTTTAGCTTGACAAACACTGTAGAAACCAGTTCGTTCTACAATTTCTTGAAAACAGCAGTTTAGCCTGCTACATTTATTCTTCTCTTTTCTCTCTTGTTGTGATATTCCTACGGTTAAATACACTTTTCTTCTTAATGTGATATTCTTGTGAATTTGTAATATTTTTGTTTCTTTTTTCCTCAGGATTTGAAGTTTGGAATAGGTGATGGCTTCCTACGGTATTACCTCTACAACTGGCGGTGTCCCCAGGTGCGCAGCGAAACGCGTTGTTTAGTGCTTTATCAATTGCTAGTATTACTTCTTAGATGTATAGTTAATTAACGTAAATTAATTCATTATTTGCACTGTACCCTGATGTGGTTGTGTGAGTGTGTTTAGCACATACATCTGTATTTTCGTACATTTAGCATTTTCTCGCATTCGAAAGGTTTGCCAGTACAGTTTGAATGCGCCTATGTACATTATATATATATATATATCCTACTTTTACCTCACATACTATATATATATATAGCATTCACGTGAAGCTGCCATCTCATTATGCTAGTGTGTAGCTTTCGCTCACCTTGGAAATATGAGCGGTCTTACCGTATTGGCGGTGTAAGATTTGTAATTTAGTGCGTGGATAGTGCATATAAAAAGTATATTATGTATATTTTTATGTGGATATGCACAGAGAATACGCGTATACTCAAGTGCATGCATACTGCGTTGATTGCTTATAATGAGTGAAGGTACGAAGATAGATGTACAATAGCATTATCAAGACCTCAGCGTTTTCAGTTGCTTGTTTGTTCTTGCAGGTGCTGCACAACGACATCGGTTTGGTGCTTCTGTGACAGGGGCTTACGGTTAAAGGTTTAAGCCGTAAAGCCCCACTGTCTTCTCCTTTGTGCTCATTCTTGTCGAATTCGTGTTGAACCAAACGCTAGCACAACCCAGCTGCGGCATGCAGCAGCAGCTGCAGCTACAGCGGATTCACTTTGAGGAAGCCTGTGAATTCAGTAGCGTAAGGGTGATACAAGTTGTCTGAACAGCTTTTTATACTATTTGCTCTCTTCGCCTTATGCATTAAACAGAAAAGAAAAAGAATGCACGCCTTAGCTTTCTAGTTCGCTGCAGCAGCATAGGCAACCAACGCCAATACAAATCCGGAGAGGGGGAAGCTTTTATATTATTACCTCCTGTACTCATCGTAATATTCAGCATCAATAGTGTATAATTAAAATACTTGCGTAGGTACGTTTACTTTAGGCGCCTGCACACCTGTTGCACTTTTTTACACATCTCCATATAACTGAACAGATATACTTCAATGCTCTGCAAATGAAGCTGAAATACTACATTATATATTATCTATATAATATAATGATATTATATATATAATATATATAATATATCTATATGTATATAATAATATATATATATATATATGATACATCTATATTATTTGGCTCTTACGCTCGCAACCAGTCGGCCTTGAGTCGCATCCATATGCAATATTATATATATATATATATATATACATATGCGTATACACCTATATATATATATATATATATACATATGCAATTATACAGTTCTAGTATATATGATAGTCTATGCATATGCTAAATATGTGCATTTTTCCATAGTTTTTGTCTAAGAGTGCTGCAGCGAGCACCTGCATGCATTATATTCGTGGCATATATAATATATATATTATTCTTTATTAACTCCTGCGATAAGCCTCAGGCGTGCAAACCCGTAATAATCTTTCATCATGAACACTTGGGGAGCCGCAGTGCGAACAGTTGCTGTTCTTAGAATCCGAAAAAAAATCAAAAACTCATACTCCTACTCCCGTGCAACAATGATGCATGCAGGCATGCAGCAATTGATGCGTGCACTCATCAATGCATGCACTGATGTATGCATGCATGCATGCATGCACTGATGCATGCACTAATGCTTGCATGCATTGATGCATGCACTGACGCATGCACGTATACTTGCATGCATTGATGCATGCATGCAAGCGCCTATATGATTCGATTGAAATGTTTACCAAGAAAACATGACTCCGCGTAGTTCTTGTCTGCCTCGCCCTCTGTACACTGCAGGAACGAACCCTGCAGCAACTCCAGCAGCATCAAATTCGCTGATATTTGCATATTTTCGTCTTGGTATATGCTGGTCTTCTCTAATAAATGCATCTAAGGGCCTGGCCCCCTCACTGCTACTTGCGGTGGAGTTCAGGGGGTTTATTGGCGCTGAAGAGGAATGAAAGAGAGAAGAATACTGACGCTCCAACACCTGCATGCACAAACACCACCACTAGATGCGCCTATCATTGCGTGCTGCTGCTGCTGCTGTTCCTGCCGCTGTCGCTGCTGCTGCTGCCGTTTAAGAACCGCCGTTGCTGCAGCAGCTCAGACATGGTAATGCGCGTCTCGACCGACAGACTGCAGCAGCTGCTGATGCCGCTCGTGGGTACTGCTGCTCCTGCTCCTGCTGCTGCAATTACAGCAGCTGCTCACGCAGCAGCAGCATTAATAAGCGAAAGCGGAGGAGAGATAATGTATGTATGCACGCACGTGGGTATAGGGCTCATCATTTGCATTTAAATTTCTTCCTAGAGGCTTCAGTTTGACGATTTCGTAGAAATTTCCTTCCTTTTTAACGATTTCCTTGATCTTGCGAACCCTTAGTGCAGCCCTCGCCTCGGAGTTCTGCTGCTGCTGCTGCTGCTGCTTCTGCTGCACGTGCTGCGGCTGCGCTCTCCCATGGCCCTCAAGCTCCCGCAGGCGGTTCTCGAGGCGGCGCTTCAGCTGCTCGTCTGTGCCGTACACCAACTCATAAACTGCAGCAACAACGCAAGGAGAGCATCATTGCTTGCACTGTTCTGTTTTAGTATGCTATAGCTGAATCCACGGTGGCGTGAGTGAGGAGACCAAATCGTTAGAAAGATGCACATACTATCCTGCTCTCCTAGAGGCGAGCTAGTTGAAGTTCAACTCGCTCGCCTCTTGGAGAGCAGGATAGTATATGTTATGCATATGTATCGTACATACGCTATATATATATATATATAGACGCATAAATATACATATGCATGTGGACTTCAGTGTTGGTCGTGCGAAAATACCAGGCAAAATAGCGAAACTGCGTAAAAGGGAAGATGGATCATGGCTGCGTATCGATTTCAACAGTAGTAGCACTTACTGGCTTCTTCTTTCTCTTCTAAATAGTCATTGTAAGCCGGAGTATTTTCGAAATTGTCTCGGAGTGCGTTTAGCCTGCGTCAGGTGCATGTACACCGCAACTGTTCAGCATTCACTTTGCGAAACGGAAAGCTAGGGAAGGCGGAGCATAAGTGAGGGAAGAGCAAAAGGGTTTTAAATGGACTTACGCATTATTAACGCGTTTTCTGATTTGTTTTTCGAAAGAAAAGAGGTCAATATCCGGCTCAATTAAGACATAATTCCCTCGAGTGAGGCTCCGCTGACACACCGGACATGCGCCCTTGGCATTTGTTGATATTACGCCTGTTGTTCCTCCTCCAAATTGTTGTTGAAGACAATTTTCACAAAGTCGATGAGGGCAGACGTCAGAAGAAAACAACTTCTTATCAGCGCAATAGCAGCAATTCGTACAGCACACCGAACACTCGTACTGCTCCATCGTGCAGCTTCCCCAGCAGAAGACGCATCTCCAGAAGTTTTTCTGCTGTATATACACAACAAAATAAGCTGGAAAGTCAACCGCTTTTCAGTGTATCTTTCGGCCTACGTAAATTAGT